CCTGTATCATAATGCCTTGGAGCGGAGCTTCGCTCGACCAAACTCCCTTCCTGGAGTTCCGGCCTGCCAAGTCCTCATAGTTCGACATGCTCCCGGGGCGTGCCCCGGTACCTGCGGAGGGAGGTCAGCGGGCCGGAACGGAGTTCAGTGACGCAAAGTGGAAGAATTGGAGCAAGAGGTCAAAACCCCCTGTGAGTCCCAAGAATAATAGAAAATCTGAATGATTGATGAATCTGACTAGGGGACCTGAACAGGGATATCCTTCATCCTTACACTTCGATTCAGTCATGGTCTGACTAGAGGACCTGAAAAGGAACACCAATAGATATATATATATATATATAATATATATATGTATTTATATAATATATTTATATATAGTCAATAAATGTAATAATATATAATAATATATACTTTACTAAGGAAACAAATAGCCAAGACACAGGCTTCGGCCATCTCGCAGGCTGCCAACATCAAGCGCCCCGTCTCCTCAGCGTGGCCGAAGTCTCCGTCTCAGGTGGCTGCGAAAGTGAGGATTTGTCCTCTGCACTTCCTGGAAGAATCATGAGTACGTGGATGGCTTGGCCCAGAAAGGATGACCATGAAATCCTCCACGAACGGCAGTGTTTTTGCACTTTCAAGATTGTTTCAGGGAGTGTACGTCATGTTGTTGCGATGGAAAGTGACTATCACAGCTTTGGATGTCTGCTCACCTGGACATGTTTGTGCTTCCAAGGTTTGGAACATGGACAAGCGCAACGGGGTCCCGATCAAGAAGTAGGCATTGAATGTTGAACTTAACATCAGCTGAGCATCGAAGCACACTACGGCACTGAGCAAAATCAAGAGCAATGCCAGGCCATATCCATTCAGAGCCATCACCTAAGACGAGTGCAGAATGTTATTGTTTTTTGCCACGAGCCTCTTTCGCAGCAGTGTCGATCAGCTTCCATCTTACTGGAAAAGGAATCCACCCGAAACTCTCAGTGTTCTCATGGGAGCGCGCGAATTGGCACAAAAGAACATCATTAACAAGTTCTTGATGACAGTAGCAATTTGGAATGCAATCACCAGATTGCCAGACTTCAATCATTCCAATGACCAGATCTGAGGGTCAAAAGAAGGCATGGGAGGTCTCCCATGCTGGGTCGACATGCCCACAGGGAGCTCTCGCGCTGGTCACGTCTCCTGACTGTCACTTCCAAGAACCTTGGGGAAGACGACGATGCCAGCACCAATGCAACCGATCACGAAGTTCGCGATGGCCTGGCATCCGATGGCCAACCGATCACAGGTCAGGATCCTAGGAGATTCACGGGCCGACCTGAATGACACCCTGAAAAATTCATTCGGAAGGCATCCGAAGGAAACCAATGCTTCCAACAACTAGTAGCATAGCATGCGCTAATTGCATGTTTTGCTTTGTAGTATGCAGTTGCTTAATCTTGTGTGATTTGATGTGTGTTTAAGTGCCCCCTTTGGTATCATATGCAGTTGCTTGATCTTGTGCGATTTCATGACTTGATTTGATGGGTTGTTGTATAATGTTGGACGCTGATTAGTAATAGGGCCCTCTATAATGCTAACTGATTGAACAAGAATTCTTGACACCTTGTTTGTTTTAAGGGTCCTCTATTATGCTATTTTTGGGGGATCCTACTTTTTGAATATCTAAACAATATTTATTAGGGTTAAGTACTTTTAATTTTCCGTTGGAAAAATAAAACAAGCTAGTAATTGCTACTATACCAATGGTTGGCTTGCTGAGAGGATTAATAAGTATCTATAGTTCTTCTTCAAAACTGATAGCTTCCCAAAACCATCAATTCCCGAACCAATCCTTTATGTAAAGATTGCTCCTAAACAAATGTTCAAGGTAGTAGACCGGGAAGGCCCGTGATCCTCAATAATGAACTTGTTTTAAGGGTCCTCAATTGTGCAAAGTTTTTCCCTGAAGAACAATAAACATAGTAGTAATTCTAAATACTACTAAGCCAATGGTTGGCTTGCTGAGAGTATTGATAAGTACAGGTTTCTATAGTTATTCTTCAAAACTCACAGCTTCCCAAAGCCATCAATTCCTTAATCAATCCTTTATGTAGTAGTATGAAAGGATTGCAAAGAATACCTAATGACAAAGAAATTCAGAAAGGAAAATTAATACTACAATCAATTACAAAAGGAATCCTCCTAGGAACCCAGATTTGTTTTGGTGGTAGTTTATTATAGAGGATCCTCCATTTGTTTGAGGGGGGGGCAAACCCCCCTTTACTAATCAAGATCCAACATCATTACACCTGCAGTGCTCACTTCGTATGTCAGAAGATCGGCAAATGGATGAAATGGGTACAGTCATACCTGCAGTTACCCCACTCTGGCGCCACCTGAAGCCTTGAGACTCCATTTCTGCGCCACCCTGCTCCCACCCCTCGACTCCGCCTCGAAGCTGGTGATTTTGGCGGCCGATTCCTGGGAGAAGAAGGACACCCAGAGTCCACTCCCCGTCATAGTAGACTCTTCATTCCTGTTACTAAACCCACCAAAATCTTAGGGGTTTTATTGAATCAAAAGTCTACATGAGGTTTTGACGACACATCATGTATATGGACCATATGGACCCGTGTTTTCGCATGTATCTCAAGTCTCAATGGTCCGTGATTTGACCATGAGGTTCTAGGTGTTGCTGTGCCGGTGCAAATCATCCACTCAACTTGACACCTTAATGGCCAAAACAACCTAGCTGGTGAGTTTTTGTTGCATCCATCCTGGATGGTAGAGTTCTACTTCTCACACTGAACCATCCATATAGCAAAGAAAATAACTTGGGGGGTGCCATGGTGCCGGGGTGCCATCCACCCTCCTTCACTCAATGCTGGAACCGGCCTCGCCAAACTCCTCGGCCTCCGCCTGGAGCGCTTTCGCAAAGGTCTCGTCGTTCATGGCCACAGCCGCCGACACCGAAGCACGGTGCAGCGACCTTCCGAGGGCGCTGAAGCCACGGTGTCCGGGATGGGGCAGGTGGTGGGGAGTTGGAGCAGGTGTTGGCAGGTGTTGGGCAGGTTGTCAAGAGACCTCAAATACCTGGAGTTGACCTGGAGTTGACCTCGTGTCTCAAATGAGTACAAGTGTACATGAGAAGCACATGCTTTTTGCAGGGTCATGTCACGTTCGGTACTTGAAGTCGGGTCCAGGTAGATCCAGAACGGCCTGGGCCTACATTCCAAAGACCCCCGCAGTTTGCAGGCTCATTGAACACTTGGCGAACGGTCATGGATCACAGCTCGAAAGTCATCTTGTTTTTTGGCAGCTTCCTCACCAATATCTTGATCCAACACAATTCCGCTAGCGTGCTTCTGGCGCACCAAGGGCCATGGGAACCGAGGTCATCTCTTGAAAGCGGAATCGGCTCCACAACCGAGGGCCATGGGTATTTGAGGTAGATTTGAACCATCGCAGCGAGGTCACGACCTCGGTCGCGCCTCATCCGGTTGGACGAATTGAAGATCGACCTGCGCTGCGAGGGTCACGGTGCCGCTCAGAGGAGTTCATGCGACTCCGGTCGGGCGAGTGGCGCTCCCAAAAGTAGGAGAATGGCAGTCTCGCCGGGGAGAGTGGGTTTTGGACACCCCGAAAAACCTCGAAGAGGCTATTTATAGACACCTCTTGGAAGGGCTTTAATTCATGAAGAGTCCACACGACACCTGTTGAATGATGCTGAACGAGGAGGTCCCTTCAGAGCTGATTCGCTTGTTTGTATCGTTTGTTTCCATTTAGGGTCTTAGAGCCTTAGAACTCCGACCACCTAGAAGTTTGGCGCCACAACATGTTTATCTTAGAGCCAAGTTCGACATGTTTTCAGAATACCAAAAAAAACATCCTAGAACATCCAGCTTCTTCAGTACGTGACCCTTTTGAAGGTTCCTTTTCGTGACTCTAACCGTCCGGGTTCGGCTTGAGACCGTGACCGCCTCAAACCAGGTGATCAAGTTCGGTCACTTTGAAGAACCCGGATCTTCGAACCGCATTTGGAGTCCATTTCGGAGTCCGACACCGAACAAACGCGCGCCTCCGTGCGGCGGGCGCGGGCACCGGCGCTGCCGGCTCCACCTCGAAGCTGGTGACCTCTGCCATGGCGACCGCAGGAGGTCACCGGGCGTGGTCGGTCACGCTTGGAGCCAGAGAAAACGGCTAGGAGCGGAGGCGATGAGACCTGGGGTGGATGAAAAACAAGGAAGGAATGTTGGGGGGGAAGAATAGAGGGGGTATACCAGTGAGCAATTTTGGTGGTACACTTGGTGATTTCCTCTTAATCAATCAAGTTCAGTAAAAGGCCGAAACTGATGCCTATGGATGAACAATTGATTCAATAGATGGCCCCTTCAGCTTGGCGTGAGGATGTAGCTCCCTAGTGCTCTTATAAGCTGTTGAAGTTATAGGACATACTTTCCAGAAAGGCAACTTAAGCTTGAAGGAGCTGCCATTCGTTGATGGTCGGTGGACTCAGTAAGCAACAAATCCAGGTCACTGATGAGCTAGCCTCATGACCTGTGGAACTCATTGCTGAGTCCTCTTCAGTGCAAAAGCACATTGCATTCCTTTTCCCCCCACTTCGCATTCACAAGCAACAATTTTGTAAAGTATAGACAGCCGTGGCAGTCAAAGACCACTGTCGTTTAAGGAAAAAACAATTGTCCACTTCCAACTTTATGCATGCAACCAACAAATGAACATGACATGACCCCAGCTAATTGAGCATTAGGTTATAGGCTCAAAGGAGATGAAACAGCTATATACCAGCACCTTCCAACAGGTCTCCGAAATGGAGGATTGTTAGGCCCTAACAGTTGGTGACCTGTTGGAGGTGCTGGTAGGTAAGAAGTTCCAGTACCCACCGTATCCTCCTCTCCTCTCCATCCTCTTGGGCTGCTTCGAAGGACATCTGCCACCTCCTCCCCCCCTGCATCCTCTCCACCCACCGCTGTCCCCGTCTCACGGTCGTCCTCTGTGGTCTCCACCCGGTAGGCGCCGCGGAAGGCTTCGTTGGCGAACTTCTGCTGCAGGAGCCTCTGTTCGCGTTCCATCGGTGGATGCGACGGAGGATTGGCCATGAAGGTGGGGGGGGGTTGAGACCGAAGACCAAGTGACCCAGTCGCAGATGAGGACGAAGCTTTGGGATGGAGCTTCGTTGGATGTGATGGCTGGAGCTGGAGCCGGCTGAATGTTTACATGTGTGATGCTTGACATGGTTATATTTGATAGTACTTGACACATGGTACCCGAGAACTGGACAGTTGTTACAAAGCAAATTGAGACTTCAACGTTCAAAGTAGTGGCTGGCAAACACGATGGAACATGATACATTTCTGATGTCCAAGAAATTGGCCGTTGGTGGCAAAAATGTGTCCAAAGACTTTGACCTCCATGGCTTTTGCCAAATTGAACCAGAAAACAGTGTTGGAATAGGTTGGAATGCTACTCTTGGGGAAGTCACATCTGCTGCTGTTTACTGCCGTTCGCTTCGCTTCGCTTCGCACGGAGCCGCACCCTCCGCCCCCACCGAGCCGCAGCAGCTTGCGTCCGTCACGGCCCGCAATGGCCCAGCTCCGGCGGCCCACGGCGGCTTGGCGGGACATGACCTCGGGAGGACTCAGTCCTTTCAGAGTAGATGGATCCTACCGAACCTGAAGACACCTGGATCCATCTTGTACAGCATGGAGGGTCCAGTGGTAGCTTCTGAAAAGGCAGTGGATCCCGGGTCAACGGCACACATGTCCAAGTTGCTTGGCTTTAGTCGCTGGGCCCGATGTGGAACCCGGTGACCAGCTCGGTGTCCAGGTCGACCACCTCTGGTCGAGGAGGTAAGTATTTGGACCCTCCAAACCCACCCCAAACACCTTCTCAGAAGGTACTTGGAGGCCTAGGGAGAACGAGGAAGATCGCTGTTCCAAAAGTCTTTTGCCTTGATCCCAGCAAGATGGAAGTTTGGCAGGCAATGCTCAATGTGGGCCATGCTCGGCGTGAATGACATTTGGTCATGAAACCCGTGCGAAGCACACAAAAAGAGCTATACTACTATACCCACTGCCAATGGGCTGCCAGTCTCACAAGGGGCGAATCCACCTGAAGGACACAATCCACCTGAAAGACCCCCAAAGATGTTTGGAACTCCCTTGAACGGCTTCTTGATGACCCTGCTTGGTTTGCGCACCGGTTGGCCTTCAATTCAAAACACATCACTTGAAATCATCACCCGATCATCCAATCATGCAGATCTAAAGCCATTCAGACTGCACTGTTGTCTCCTTGAAATTCAGCCACAAGGAGCGGCGTAACGAAAGAACGGGGACAGAACGGGACTTCAGGGACACCGTCCCAAGAACGACACTGAAGGAGGACTCGACACCGACAGAAACGGGACTGAAGGGGGCGACCGGGCGACGGACTGGTGCTCCGGTGCTCCGAGCGGCCATGCACGCCAATGTGCCGGTGAGTCCTGGCAGCTCGGTCAGAACGAGGGTGATGGACATGTTCCTAACTTCCGAGCCGTATTGTGCCTGGAAAATCCAGGTGAAACCAACTTTCCACCTGTTGGTACTTTGGTGGGGAAACCCATTCCCAAGTCAGGTTAAAGGGTTATCCACTTTTTTTGTGGGTAGAACTCATCCCTCAGAAGTCCTGGAAATACCTTGGGTAGATCCTGACCGGGCACCAGCAGTCAGTGGATGATGATGATGATGATGATGATGATGATGATGATGATGATGATGA